CCCTTCAACAGCCGTGCATGGCAGACACCGGAGATTCTGGATGCATTTCATGGCTGCTCTGAGGCAGTCGCTGACCAATGCCAGTATGGCTTGAAGCATCCAGTAGAAGATGCACCTATGAGCAAGCGCACCCGTTTTCAAGGACAAGAAGAAGTGGTGCGGTATCTCCAGAAAAGGTGTGACCACAGCCATGAGCACTGGCCTATAGAAGGGAAGTTCAAAGGAGCTGATTGCAAGTGGCGCTCACTGAGTGAATGGGCAGGAGGATACCCTATTCCTCTGCGCCATGCCATCATTGATGGAGCCGAGGATTTTCTTCGAGCTCGTGCAGCGCACAAAGGCACCTTCGTTGAGGACGATGGTGATGAGGGAGCTATGTCAGATGGTGACCTCCAGGCAGGAGAAGAAGCCATCGAAGAAGAAGAGAAGATGACAGGGCTCCTAAAAGAAGAGGATGAGGAGCCGGAGGAGGGGCAGCGCCATCCGGTTCCCATGGAGGTGCGGAAGGCAGTGGAATTCGCCCATCGACAACTGGGACATCCTTCCAGAAGCACCTTGGTGAGAATGTTGAAGATGAGTGGAGCAACAGAAGATGCCCAACGGTGGGCGAGAAGATGGACATGTGATGTCTGCGCCCAGCGGGCGGCTCCACGACACCCTCAAGCGGCTGCGCCGAGTGTGAGGCCTTATGGGTTCAATCACCACGTGCACTTGGACCTCAAGTATGTGTACGATTGCCGCAAGAAAAAGTACACATGTTTGTCAATGCTGGACTTGGGGACGGTCAAGCACGATGCGGTGATGGTCAAGTCCAAGCAGAGCACTTACATCGCCAAGAAATTCTTCCGACACTGGATCTCCTTGTACGGAGTCCCTGGAAAGGTCACGACAGACCAAGGAGGAGAATTCGAGCGGACCTTCACCCTTTACTTGGAGCAGCTTAGCATCCCGAGTGAGGTGACCGCTGCTCATGCCGGATGGCAGCTGGCAGCTGGAGAGAGGCATGGAGGCCTCCTTGGAGATATGCTCGATGCCGTGGTGCAGGAACACAGTCTGCAAGGCTATAAGGGCCTCAAAGAAGGACTGGCTGCGACAGTAGCCGCCAAGAATGGCACGCTCACAAAGGATGGCTACACGCCAAACCAACGAGTGTTCGGGTATGAGACCCGGTGGCCATCCTTGAACGATGAAGACCCCAAGATGTCCTTTGCAGAGGGCGTCTCTGTAGACAGTGAGGTGTCCCGAGCGCATAAGATGCGGACAACTGCACGGATTGCCCTCTTGAGGAATGATGTACGAGAGAAGGTGCGGAGAGCCGTTTTGCGGAAGCCGGCTGTTTCCCACTCTGGACCTTTCATTCCTGGTGCACAAGTCTATTTTTGGACACCTAGCACACAAAAGGGGGTGCGCTACAAGAAGGGTGGTGCATGGCGCGGCCCAGCCACTGTCCTCATCAGGGAGAAGCCCAAGAAGTATTTTGTCTCTTGGCGTGGACGGCTTTTGTTGCTGGCAGAAGAGAACATGAGGCTAGCAACGAGAGAAGAGCTGGCACTGACGGAGCCCGTTCGTGAAGAGATGGATGGTGTCGGTGATATGCTCAGGGATGGAGGCCGACAGAACATGTACAAGGAACTACGACCACAGCCTCCTCCACCACGCAAGAGACCCAGACGGGCGGCAGTAGATGCATCGACAAGACCGCCTGAGCCAGAAGAGAGCAAGCGAGCACGCTTGATGATGAGAGGCTCAAGGACGGTAAGGAACCTTTTGAAGGATCAAGTTCAGCGAGCCGCCCAGATGCTTCGGAGGAGGAGAGCGTTAGCAGATGCTCGCATGCCGGCAGCGCCGAGCCCGAAGCGAAGAAGGGCATTACCAAGTCCACCTGCTGGTGGCGATCAGATGCCCCTGGCGGCGCCAGAACAAGTACGCCCGGCTGCGCCGCTGGCTTTGCCACCTCCTGCACGGGAGGTGCGACCAGAGGATGTCCCTGTGCCCATGGATGAATTTGATGATGAGCCCAATCGAGAAGAAGCAGTGGCACCCAGGGACGAGGATTTTCAGCAGCTGCTTAGACAGCAGACCACGGAGGAGAGGCAGCGGCATCTCCTGGATGACTTGCCAATTTCCATTCGGAAGCGGCTGCATGAAGATGATGATGATACGGGGGTTGCACCACCAAACAAGAGAGCCAGAGTGTCTCAAGAGCTGGTGACTCAGGTGATGCTGAGCACGCTGGTCACCGAAGAGAGAGAGATAGCGAACGAGTGGGTTTCCCGCTATGAACTCTCGCTACTACGGGAACTCACGGGGCTCCCCATCACGGCAGCCCGGTTGCACCGGCAGCCCCGCAAACGGCTAGCGCGGCCGCCCAAAATGGCCAGCAGAGCAAGACTCAGCATTTTGCTGGGGAAGGATCCACGGAATGCTTTCGTGGTAGAGGAAAACACCGAGGAGGTGCGACAACACCCGCGTCGCAAAGCGGGGTTCCCCTGGAAGGGGATCACAATGTACTACAAGGAAGCTCCAAAGAAGAAAGGAGAGAAAGTCCGAAGCTATGTTGAGAAAGATGGGGAGATCTATGAGGTGTGCTGGAGTTCACGCCAACGGAAGCTTTTTGAACGAGAATGGCTGGCCGAGATGAAGGATGTGTTGATGAGCGAAGTGATGTTGCTTCGCATGAAGGCCAGTGGAAAAGAGCTGGACCCGAGATTCTTCAGCGAGGAGGAACGGTCCAAGTTCGCAGAGGCGGACAAGAAAGAGTGGGCTCAGTGGATACAGAACGGAGTGATCAAAAGACTGAGCCCCGACGAGCAGAGAAAAGTGCCTCGAGAGGCGGTGTTCAAAAGCCCCATGCGGATGGTGCGGGCGAACAAGCAGCAGAAGATGTTGCTTCCTCTTCTGGCCAAAAGCAGGCTGGTGATCCCGGGTCATCGGGACCCGCATCTGGGCCTTTTCCGGACGGACGCGCCCACGACCAGCCTGGTCTCTGTGAGGATGGCGAAGGCCATCAGCCAATTCAGATCATGGATCTGCTGGAGCTTTGATGTCACGACGGCATTTTTGTCGGGCCTGGAGACAGATCGTCAGATCTACGTGAAGGCTCCAGCTGAGGGCTTGCCAGCCGCGGAGGGCTGGAGTGCCATCTTGCCCTTTGAGCTTCTGCGCATCCTCAAGAGCGCATATGGCCCCGAGGCTTTGGTACCTTCGGGCAGTGCAACTGATTAGCCAGACGCCGCTGAAAGAGCTCCCGATTGCCAAGGCCACATTTGCGGCCAGTGAAGGCGGCATCAGCTGGGCAATCTTGTGCCTCCACGTCGACGATGGACTCCTTTTGGGAGATCCAAATGACAGTCGATTTGTCAAGTTGAAGGCACAGCTGAACAAGCTCTTCAAGATCAAGGAGTGGAAGGAGACTCCCTTGACCTTTTTGGGAGTAGATCTGGAGAAGGCTGAGAAAGGGGGCCTCTGCGACAACATGGGAGCCTACATTCGGAACATCAAGGTCCCTGAGATGCAGAAGAAGAAGCCGGATGAACCTTTGGACACGCAGGGCGTGACACAATACCGCCAATTGACTATGCGACTTCGATGGCCGGCTCAGTTGGCAATGCCTCACAAGCTGTATGGGATCAGCTCCTTGGCTCAGAGAGTCAACCAGGCCACCTACAAGGACTTTCAGGAAGCTGTGAAGCTACACCAGAACTTCCTGGAAGAAGAGAAAGCTGGCAGAGCCAAGCTGCGTTATCCCATTAATCGTGGGAGGCCGTATGTTTTGAGCTTCTTCGACGCCTCCTTGGCTTCCTCACGACAGATGGAGTGAAGGAAGGGCCACAGCTGGCAGCCCCGCTGGAATTCCACACCTCCCGAAGCACCAGGGTGGTGAGAAGCTCAATGGCGGCAGAGAGCAACAGCATGTCCCTGGCAGTGGACAAGCACCTCTATTTGAGGGCGCTACTGGACATGTTGTGGTTCGGTGATACCACCTCACCCTCAGCGGACTGGAGGTCCAAGCTTCGCCATGAAGGCGGCCTGGTCACAGACGCCAAGAGTCTTTACGACCATGTCCACACGACAGGCCACGTACCAAGTGAGAGGCAGACTATGCTTGACCTCCTCGTGGCCAAGGACATGTTGGAACAAAAGGCATACCAACTGTTCTGGGTTCCGACCCATCAGCAGCAGGCAGATGTGCTCACGAAGCGCATGAAAGGGACGCTTTGGGAGAGCTTCTGCCAGAACCATCGCCTGTCACTAAAGCAGACTGACGCAGAAAGGCGATTGGAGGAGCGTAGGCAGCGCCTTCGCAAAGACCAACGGCAGCGCCGGAAGGTCAAGTTTGGCCGAGCCAAAGCTGGCAGCGCCGGCCGTTAATTCGACCACATGTCAACACCCTTTTCTAGGGATGTGAGAAATGGTGGTCGGTGCACGTTTTTGCCATGTGGTGGCTTTGACTTGAGACCGCTGACGCATCCGCAGTCAGCGCTGGCTCGCATGTTAGAAAACATTTGCTTCGGCCGCGACCGCTTGCTTTGGTAGCTTTGTTTTTACTTCGCACTCCGCAACAGTTTCTGAAGATCGCAAAATAGATCCTGAAGATCCCAAAATAGTTTCCGAAGAATCGTTTCTGAAGAGTAGTTGCGGAAGAGTACCAAATAGTTGCGGAAGAAAAGTTTCAGAAGAATGGAGAGTTGCGGAATAGGACTTTATTCCCCTTTCCTCCTAGTAGCTTCTAGCTACTAGTAGTCAGGCCAGGAGCCCCTAGTAGCGTCCTTGCTCCTAGTAGCGATGCCCTTTGCTCCTAGTAGCTTCTAGCTACTAGTAGTCAGGCCATGAATCTGGCGTTTCTTGGCTTGAAATCTGTGAGGTGTTCTAAAAATGATGCAGCTGAGCCGTGCTCTTGTTTCCATCTATGTGGAACCCAATACATTATACAGGGCGTGGCATTGGATAAAGTGGTGCAGCAACCATGAAGGTCACTCTTGTCGCACGGTCAGCATCGCCTTGCTCCCGGTCTTTAACTGATGGCTGAGAGGACCTCCAGGAAAAAACAATGGTGGATCCTAGGTGGGAAAGACTTGTCGAGCACATGAGTACGTGAGACCGACCAAGCCGCGCAGTATAACAAACGCATACTACAACGCAGCATGCAGGCCACAGCAACTGCAGATGTCTGTGGCAGTATATAGATTTGATGGCGAGCGGGCGCAGAAATTGACTGTTGTCAGAGTTCGCTGCTGAGTTCACACCCAAAGGCTCAAACTTTGCACATTCATGACATGTTATAACCCGGTTCAACCAGCTACTGTAGTTCCACTTCTTTGAGCCCTCAAGTTGAGTTTTGTTTCAACTTGGGCTCCTGCACACTCTAAAAAGTGGCCTGTTACTTCCACATCTTCCACTCCCTTGTATACACTCCGGAGCAACTGACTGAAGGAGGTACAACGATGCAACCTGTTGCTCTGAAACATGCCCCTGCCTGCTTGATCCTTCATCATTGCGGTGCTTGATCGGCGCAACCATTGAAGACAGCAAAATGGGATACACACCAATCACTGCAATGGCCATAGCAACACGGGCCAAATTATCGAAGATCCCAGCAGGCAGGTCAAGAAGAACATTTGAAGAGACGGTTGGTCCAAGAACAAAATAAGCGACTGCAGAGAAAGTTGCAAACAGCAGTGCGACAAAACTGAAGCTGAAGGTCAAGCACACTGCGAAGCGCTCTGGGCTGCGGCCAACCATTTCTTCATACATTGGAAGGATGCACATTTGCACAACTGCTGCTTGCATAAGTGCACTAACCATTGTCACAGTGCCCTCCCCATAGCCTAGCAAACAGAAATCTTGCTCCGCCTCATCTTCGGACGGCTTGCGCCAGCCAGAAAAGCACAGCGTCGCCAAAAGAACGCAAACATAGATATTGGCAGCAATGCTTAGTGTTGATGAAAAGGCCAAATGCTTTTGATCTAGGAAGCATAGTGGCAAAATGACGCCTGCACTCATGAATACTCTGAAAGCGCGAGGCAACTCAGGCAGCAAAAGTTCGCTGCTGTCTGCTACTACGATCAAATATCCCACCAAACACATGAAAACAGTAAGCCAGATTGTCATTTCGCAGAATGCTTTCGCCACTTTTCCTTGGGCTGGAAGGCATCCAAGCAAAGCTCCCAAATCGAAGGTGTGATGCTTCTCTGCTGCATAAACCAATACCATATTGGTCGCTCCATTCACAGCGAGAATCACCAGCGTCAGCAAAATGGCCGATATGAGAGATGCCCCAGCTGTTGCCCATGGCAAGCTGAGAATGCCGCAGCCCAAAGTGGCTGTGATAAGGTTTAGACATAATGCCAAGTTTTCAGACAAGGCCGTTCTTGGGCTCAAGCCTGGCTTCGCAGTTTGTGCCACAAGGGGATCCGTAAATGCTCCCCCCATGTGTGCTCACGAAAGCGAGGCTCAAGCCTACTTTTCTTCAGAATGATCTCAAACAGAAACAACTGGCCACCGAGACAAACGCATGCTTTGCTGGAGGAAACAAACGCAGGAATGACTCTGACAATCTCTGACACACTTATCTTATCTTCTGCCGTTCTAAGTGCAAATTGTAGCTTTTTCATGTGAGCCGAGCAGCCGTTGAAAGCAAATATATAAAGGGTCCCAGCAAACTGCGACCAAAGGTGGTATGAACCTACCTTGCTCGGCTCTTTTTGCCTCTGACGGCTCGGTCGGCCTGTGAAACTGCGAGCAGCTGAGCACGTGATCCATCGAGATCCCAAGCCAACGGCGGCCAACATGGGCAAAATTCCACTGTCTTGACATCTTGTGCTCAGGTCTTCCGGGATGGTACTTCCTGCGAACTTCATAAACTGAAGGTGAAGGGTCAAGAACAAAGCTGGCATTTTGACACCATGCTTCGTTTGTCCAAGAAATGAAGAGCCTGCTTAACGAAGAGGATATCCCTGGTCAAGCAACTGCGTGTCCGTACGCGAAACTCTCTCTATGAGCTGAGGCGAAAGCTGCACACAGCTTGTAAGTATAGGAAGTCTCATCCTGCACTGCAAGTGCAGAAGTCTAGCAGTCTAGCACAATCCAGAGACGATGAAGTGCTTCTGAACTTCTGGTCCTTGCAGCCAACCGCACCTCAACGAAACAAGTATAAACAAGTATCCAGCACCACACTGAGGAGTCTCGGCTGTCGACCTGCTTCATTGTAGTTGCAGCAGCAGTCATCGAACGTTTGCCAGTCCTGGGACTATGAGTTCCACAAGCTTTGGGCTGTGGTCATGCACCATGGCCACAAAAGAAAAGGGGTCTGTCCCTCCATGAGGTGAAGATGACAGCCTGCTGTGCAAACTGGACAATGAATGGGCGCCTTGCAACAAAACAACGGGACACATGGTGCACCTGGTAGGAACACAAAGGCCACACCTGGGCATCAGTGTTGGATCATGGCTTGTGTAGCAAATGTAGCAGTACAAGTGTCCGACGTACTCAGCAGAAGCAAGGAGAAGCTTCCCAACATCAAAGTTAAAGTCCTGACTGTTTTGTTTTTGGTGTCCACGCATCGTAGGAGTGTACTGCCCTGGCTGATTGCAGTATGAGAAATGCTTCCTCCGGCATTGTGCAGGGTCGAGTGCTTGCTTGGCACCTGCCACTACAGGCAGCACTCAACTACAAATCTGACGGAAGATTACAACGAACATTTGTAGTTTCAAAGGTGCTGTGAACGCGCAGGCGTCTGACCAACAAAGCCGGTACTCCCCAGCAGATATGGACTCAGCTTGACCTGAAAGTCGTCCAGGCAAATCGAGGGCGGCTTATATAGTCTCAGCCGAGTTGCCAAGGTCATAGGTGCCAGTGGAACCATCCGCCGAGAGAGTCCTTGTCTGCAAAGCCATGCTCAACTTTCAGTCAGTCACTTAGGCTGCGACATTCTGCTTGAATACCCATTCAGAAGTGGGCCAATGCCTTCGAGAAAGATCAAGTCTGAATCAAATCCATTCTGTCTCCGCTCGTGAAATGCGCTGCAACATGATCAACAAGGCCTGTGACGACATCACCAGTGCAGCCTCCAAGTCTCATCGACGGTCTTGTGCCAGTCTGCAAATCATGTTGCCGAAGGATCTGAATCAACTTTGTGAAACTTCTAGAGTGGAGAAAGAGGGCTCTCATGATGTCTCACTGCTGTATGCCCTGCCTTTACCAACAGTTGATCTCCAGCCGCCATCGGCTTAGCCGAAGCCAGCTGAACATCCTCCAGTTCCGATTGGCGGTGAAGAGCCAAATACTATGCTGATGCTGAGGCTGCAACGCCAGAACAAGGGCCGCGCATGTAACAGGTCTGAGCTGACAGTGAACATAATCAAAATAGCTCCGCAGGGCTCCAATGGCAAGGCCGCCACAACATCTAGGTCAGCTGCAAGCCTCACCTTGGCCGAAAGTAAAGCGCACTTGCTAAGTAGGTCCAGGTCAGTGTCGGATATACACTGGGGATGAGACCAATGTAATAAACCTCAGTTGCAGCGGGACTTGTGCAAGTAATGTCGAAATTGAATGCTCAGAATGTCTGACGCTCGTTGGGATGCGGTTTCTAGGCTTTGAACCCCGCAAGAATCGTGAAATCTGCTGGAGTCCCAGGGTTGCAATTGGAGAGTTTGCTGCACCTGCTATTGCTATCACTGCCGTTGCCCATTGTTCCAGTTGCCGCTCACAATGCTTCATGACGCAACCAAGCTGGCCACACCAACAAAGCCTTGGTGTCACTTGCACTCAGATTATTGGAGTTGCAAGTTTTGCGGCCTTAGTTCCAAGCTTGGCTATCATGCCCTCAGCAGCCATGATCGGTTCTGGGTCGAAAACTCCAGGATCGTCCGGCAAGTTCTAACAGGAAGGCCGTGGTGCGAATGGCAAGGGCAACTGCCGGCCAGCCTCCTTCTCAAATCGGTACCAAGTGCCTCCTGACAAACTCAACACGTGGTTGGACCCTCCAAACAAGTCCAAGGTTATGGATCATCCTTGATGAACACCGGCAAGGTCTCGAGATTCGGGGCTGCGGCCTTCAACCGCAATTTGAAACCCCAAGCCTGTACAACCTCTTGCACAAGAAAATGTAATTGTTCATCTCAGAGTGTGGCTTATCATCACGCCGTTGTTTGGCAAACCAGGTACCTACAGCAATGCTGTTGGCAATGGCAGCAGCACAAACGCTACGTTTGGAAGCAGCAACCCCATGGCAAAAGGATTGGATGTATGAACAATAACAATAATTCGAGGTGTGAGGCGCAGAACAACAAAAAACACACATGTGTTCAGGAACCATAGGCCTGAATATGAACAGTGGGACAACCAACGAACTATATACATATTGCACCCGCATTGGAATTACACTGGGGGAAACTAGGATGGCACAAGTAGGGTACTCCCAAGATAGGTAGATGGCACAAAAAGTTGAAAAAATTAGTGCGGTGTGGCCAGCCAAGCGCAAATCAACGCAAATTGGAGAGGTAGATGGTACAACGGGCGTGGGCAATCCATAGGAACTGAGCCGACTGTGCCAACTACCATTGCGTTCTATTTCTGAATGTAGATGGAACACCTGTGCCAGTGCATTCCTGCACCTGGGCTAGTGCCATCTACGGATGGCTTGCCTGATCGCACGCACCCACATGTTTTCCAACTATAGCAAATATATATATATATATCAAATTGAAGATGGCACCGGTAGAAAAACCAAAATGACGAACCCAGCAAGGATGGTTCCCCAATGGTCACATGGCTCATGTTTTCATCCGCTGCTAGATGGGGGGCTCGTGCCATCATGTTACGTCAGTCTTCGACTGCCGTCCTATCATCACATGGTCATGGGCCGACGTGTCGTTTCACACATCCCTTTCTGGTCCATGAACCATGACGGATCTCACACCTTTACTTCTCAAACAAAACAAATTCAACACACAAAAACAAACTCCAATTAAGTTCCCTTCTTTGCTTTTCCGATCCACATCAAGATCGTTGGGTCTTCTTTAAGCGTCATCCAACCTTGTTGTAAAACTCTTCGTAGAAGATCCAACCTTGCATTCAACTTGGTGAGTCCATCCACATGCAAGCATATGGTCTGTTGGTAACCATCTAATGTTGATGCCGTCTTTCGAAACATCCCTCTTGACCAAAAGCAAATCAATGGCCAATCTTTTATCTTTCATAGTCATCAACTGACCATTCAAGTGGTCAAACACAGGACGTGAATCCACTGCTACAGTCACTGGTGGTCGGGATGTCCATAGTTGGTCCTCTTCTAACTTGTAGTTGACATAGACAGCCTCCGTCCAAAGTGACCTGATCCACTTTGCTTCTGAGATCGTCCGAGAAAGTGGCAACAGTTCTGCCCCCAACGTCGAAGCTACTTGTCTGTCTTGTTTGTAGCTCCTCCATCGTAATGGGGATAGCACCGCCCAATCATCTAGTCTCAGACGGGCATCAGTCGCACATATCAAATATCCACCTTGGCTCTTCCATTGAGCAGCGTTGGCGAAACTGGCGTCAGACCATGCCGCGAACTCCACACTTTCTGGAGGAAGGAGGTTTCACACACAACTTCGTTGCTGAGAAATCTCGAGCCTGCGCAACAAGTTTGTTCACCTCAATCATGTCGTTCACCGTTGAACAAGCTATCTTTTGTTGCAAAAGTGAACATCCAGCGGCTAAATCAGGTCAGCTTCCAGTCGCTAGCCATTGCAATTCTCCTAGCGCTCCTCTCATCTGGGTCTTCTCTTGAGAATTCGTCTCACACTCTTTCTCTCTTCTTCTTTCTTTACCTATGGGAATGCACTGCGAGGTTTCCGCATACTCTTGTTGTTCAATCACAATGGAAAAGTTCTCATCTTGTTTCAACATCTTTCCCAAAAAATCCTCTTCACCACTCTTCACATGTTTAAAGGGGTACCGGGCTCGAAGCTTCTGAAATTTTTCATTCATGAAACTAGGGCTTCCACCAATCACTAAGCCATCGACATGGAATGCAATGACACCGTCAAGCCGTCCTCCAATGTCTCGACTGAAGAACATACAGCTGTCCAACTGTGACTGCATGAATCATGCCAATGTCTGACAACGCTTTGGTCAATGATGTCCACCACAACCTCGGAGCATCGACCAAGCCGTAAACTGGCTTCACCAGTTCACACATGGTGTCTTGTTCGAGCATCTTTGGGAATTCTGACCAAGATCTTTAAGATCACAGGTACTCGACTCCTGATCCTTTCGTCTCCTTCCGGGCGTTCGACCTCTTGCCTGAACACACGCATCACACCCTCGATCATATGGCCAATGTCCTCGACACTCATGATCGTACAACAAACTGCCTTCCAGCTCGGGTGATGGATCTTCCAGATCCGACGAGTGTGGACCATCAGGGTCATAAGGTGGCAACTCACCGGGCGGTTCCTCAACCATCGGACCTTCAGCCTCCGCCTCCGGACCTCTCGGATCGGGTTCAGTCG